TTCTATTACAGAATGTGAGTATTTCCTGTGAACATAAACTGCAACACCACCTCCAAGCCCATCATACGGTCTCTACGATACAATGTATTATTTTCAACTGAAAGACACAAATCTGGCATAGCAGGAGTCAGCCATGATTCTGATATAGCAATAACATGTGCTTGTGTCTGAGCAAGTATTACTTTGAATTCATCCAGTTTAGGTACAAGACTTCTCATATTTAAATGACAGATTTTAAAGCCTCTAATTTTACCTAGTTGATTTAGTGTCCCTGGATTGTTTTTTTAGACAGGAAAATCGCTTTTGCTTTCTTACTGATGTAGTGTTCAGACTTGACATAACAGGAGGTTGTCTAACCTTTTCAGGATATAATATAGATCCCTGTGTAGACTGTAATTGAGTTGGATTTATATAAGATACACCTGTGCACAAACCCAGGTCAAGATAATTATTAAAACCATATGTATAAAATCCCATAAAATATAAAAAAGTGGACATAAAAACATTTTTATCTTTTACGTTATCTTTAGATCACAGTTTGAAACGCTCCAGCATTCTAAAAAAGAAAAACAACACGGACACGTTGATTACAGTGTGGGGGCTAAAGTGAAAGTAAAACATGGTGCTGAGCGCCCGTTCAGTAAAGAAACTTAAACAGCTGTTCTTTGTCCCCTCATATTCCGACACAGAGGGTAGAAACAGCTAAATTAGACAGTTAAAACACATTTACAGTTCATAACTCACCCTTGTTGTAACATTCCTCCTATGTTGTCCGCAAGCACTTTCATCCCTGTTGTGGGTCCATTTCCTTGAAAAATGAAACTTAACCAGGCACTTTGAAGAAGCTCTGCTCTGACGCTGGTAGTCTATGTAGATAATAATGTGAGTTTACACACCCCAGGACCGAACATTTTGACTTCTGAACTTGCATATTCGGCAAGACGCTATGGACTACAAAATCACACAGCGAGGAAAAAAATTGCGGACTATGAAATCCAGTTGGCCGGAAATACATTACCATGAATGGTAGTTCCGAAGAAAAAWGTGTGATGAAATAAACAATGAAACGAAATAAGCAACGGCAGATTTTGAACAAACTGAAAAATCTGACCCATAAAATAATATAAAAATATCTTTGCAGTAACAGGACAGAATAAATTAAAGTTTTCTACACTCCTAGACACTATAATTGCACAAATATAGTTTATAAATGCATAAAAAGTGCATTTAGCATGATATGTCTCCTTTAAGCATTTAATGTCCTACTTTTTTGTAGCTTAAAAAACTCAGCCTCTTCAGCAAATTTCACCAAAGTCATCCAGCACTTAGCAGAAAATGTATGTTCTTTAGTTTTGTTTCCAACACCTAACAAGACGTTCTGACATCCTAAAGGCCCGTGGCTTTGAGTTGAGTTACCTGGGGAAGCTGTCGCAGGTGAGGGACACGCACACCCGCCAGCCTCTGCTGCACCACGTCTGCGTTCTGCTGCTGGAGCTCTACCCACAATCCTCTGACCTCTACTCTGACATCTCTGCGGTGACTAAAGCTGGCAAGGTGTGTAGCTGCACTAATATGTGTCCAGATCTCCTGACTGTGCATATGCACAATCTCATTTTGAATACAGTGGTTTGCAAAAGTATTCATACCCCTTGAACTTTTCCATATTTTGTCACATTACAACCACAAACATAAATATATTTCACTGGA